GCATTTTAGTCAAATTACTTAGAAGTCAAAGAAAAACTTTTATAATTTCTTAAGAGTATGTGGAATCTAAAAACTAATACAAATGAATGTATATGCAAAACAGAGATTCATAGATATAAGAAATGAACTTTCAGTTACCAAAGGAAGAGGGGAGAGTCAAATTAAGGGTATAGGGTTAACAGTTATATAAAACAGATAAGCAACAAGGATAATTTGTATAGCACAGGGAATTATAGCCATTATCTTATAATAACTTATAACAGAGTCTAATCTGCAAAAATCCTGAATAACTATGCTATACACCTGAAACTAATATAATATTGTAAATTAACTATACTTCAGCTTCAAAAAGAGTAGATCAACAATCCAAGAACATTTTGTCATTTGACAGAGAGAAAACCACATTCCAGTTTTGTAGTGATGTAAAATTTGATATTAAAGTTACTTTTTAAAAATTATAAACAAATCCATTAATCTTTTGCTAGGTGTGAACACCACAAATAAAATTCCCATTTATAACTTTTTATATCTACTTAAATTTTATCCTACATTTTCTTCTCTTTTATTTTGGGACAACCAGTCATTTTTACTTTAGGACAAAACTATTTCTTTCCTTAATAAAAACATATCTTTTATACTTTGCATACAAAGTTGTTTCTATACGTTACTATTGTTCCTAGTAGAGTTTTATTCATATATTGATTATAACATTCATTCACAGTAACTTTTAGTTTAGAGAAAAGTTGAAGTGGATAATAGTGAATTTCTGTCATACATCAGTATTTTGTGGCAGACTAACAGAGCTTAAGAATACAGCCATAACTATCTTTTATAGTACAGCTTTTCAATGAGGTAGAAATAAATACATTCATTAATAGACCCAAACATATATAGTCTTAAAAGTATGGTTAGTAATTAATATTTCAGTATTTTATCTTATTTAAAAGTGATCTAGTTATTTAATGAATATTCATTAATTAACTTAGCGTAGGTCTAAGGGTTTCACTTACCAAAAATCTTGAAAACTGTTTTCAAGCTAACATATCACAAAACATAATCAGTGTCAAAATAAAGTTTGCCAGGATAATGATTTAATTTGTTTAGACATAAATTTACATTTTTTATAATCTTAAATATTTAACAGCTGTAGTGCTTGTGTACACAATCAATAAACCTGTATAAGTTTAGGAAGAATATCCCAAATAGAATAAAAATGTATGTTTATATTTTATCTAAACTTGGTAACTCAGAAGACATAACCGATTTTATTCAACTAGTCTTGTTTGCCAAGATTTAAATTATGTGAAATTGAGGTTTTTTTAATTTTTGAGTTAGTTTCTGTAAGAATATTTTTAAAGTCTTAGATGTTAAATTTCCTTAATTTTTGAGAATTTTAGGAATACTTAACTTATAGAAGTACTTATTTATCTCTAAGCCAGTCAGAATAGAGTTCCTTTAAAGCATTTTATAGTCTGATATTGTAATATTATCTGAAGTAGGAAAAGAACAGGCATCCGTACATAAATGCAAAACCAGACACAGACAGCAAACTAATAGCTTTAATGTAAAAATTTTAACTTATTGGTTTATATAAAAGTGCTGGCTCTTGACCCCAACCACCTATATATATATATATTTTTTTTTAAATCAGGATTGCATTTCTGGTAGATGGAGCAAGTTGAAGTTACCTACTCAATATGAGAGTAGAAGTTTCCCCAATAATATTAGTGGAGGAGACCTTTTAAGACTTTCTTTGCTCTGGTATGTAATTTTACAGAGGCTGTGTATTGAATTTTGGGCAACTGACTAAGGATACACCAAGTTTGGGTGCTTCTAAAGCTCACTGGAGTGGATAAAAATCCAACTTGTTTTCAATTAGCCTTTTCAACCTTGAATGTTTGCTCTTGGGGTCCTTGAGCCCCTCAAGAATAACCAACAAGGAGAAGGTGGTCTAGAGATGAAGTGACTATAGGACTTTGAAGGGCTGAAGAGGGATGGAAAAGCTTTAGCAGAGGTGGATAGAGGGATGGAGGAGGTAAGACTGTTGAAGGCAGACAGGTAAATCAAAGGATTCAAGGAGCTCAAGGGAAGTTTGAAGGTCATGAAAAGAAAGAAGGAGCATGGGGGGGCAGAGTGATGGGAAGGGATGGGTATTTGCTGAGTTAGTTTAGGGAGATCCCATGTTTCCAAGGCCACTGTGGCTCTAATTATCTTTAGTAAAGTTTTGTCACTTTTTTAAGATATTGAACTGAATTAATGTCATAATGGTAGAGCAGGGAAAGGAGAGGGAGGGAACATAGTAGAGTAAGGGTTACTCATGGGATTAATTAACTAAATCAGCAATAAGACCTTAAAGGAGCCAGGGAAGTCTCCTGCTTGAGAGTTAGGGAGTGATTCCCCACTCAAAACACCAGAGAACAATTTCTTTGCTCAGAAGACTCAAAATAACTTCTTACCATGCTGTAACAGACATGATGCCCAGATCACTGGTTTGAGAACTGAATTCACCAAAGGATTCCCGATTTCATGAGCAGTAGAGGCATTCAAAAGATTTGCAAGGTGTCATTAGTTACCTGTGCAGGGATGACAGGGTTCCACGAGGAAAGTCCAATCTTGAGCCAACTCATGGCAACATAAAACTGTCAAATAAAACAGATCCAGACTTAAGTAAGGGAGACTTTATTCAAAAAGACTATTGTAATAGGGAAAATGCTCTGACCACCAGATCCATAGACATCTCAGAATCCAACAGAAAAGGGTTCTTTCTCTTTCTGGGTTTTTTTTAATAGGAAGGGATAAGCAGGGCTAGCAGGAACTTTTCTGGGAGGTGAGGGGGTATTTATGGGGATGAGAGTAGACAGCAGCATGATTGGGGTAGTTTAACAGGAAATGTTTGACTCTACACAGCCAGGAATGAGCTGCATCTTAGTGCTTGCTTAAGCTTGAGGGTGAGCCAAAATTTAGGGGTATGTGGAGAGAAGCCTGCATAGCACTTGGTCAAACCAGTGGGTTACTTGTGAGTAATTATGTGAGCCATTACCATTCTGAAAATTCTTTCTGTATTCCTACTTTGTCTCTCTCATCATGTTGATATTGCTCAGTGTGCTCAAGAGTGATTAAAAAAAATCATATTTTTTAAAGTCAAAACCTCAAGGCAGCCAGGTTTCTAGTGTAATCATGGCCTCAGCTTCTGAGACCTCAGTGTTCCCTGGTCAAACTTCAATGAGATCTTAACCTTTTCCATATGTCACAGACATGTTTACCCAGAGCTGTTTCTGCCACTGTCTTAGAATAACTACATAGTCATTACCAGTAGCTTTAATTAAGTAGATAGTTCACCACCCTTTTTCTGAGATAATCTCAACTCCCTAGACAGACATTGTCACTGACATTTCAGGTGAAATTATAATCAATTTCCAGCAAGGAGATGAGATCATGATGTCCGCAACTTTTACTTAGGCTTCAGATAGCCCCTTTCCAGACCAGTTGATTATGACCAGTGCAGCCACTATCCCCACAGGAAATAGCACTTGGTAAGTCATTTTTTTTTTCAGATTGTTCTCATATTCTTATAAGGAACTGAATGTATCTCAGGATATGGAGTAAGAAATACCTGGATGAAACAATTTTGCTGACTGGTTTGGAACACAGTATCTAATTATACAGGCAGGGAAGATTTTATTTTTTGAGGGAACCAGAGGCAAGAGCCACCCCAGTCTACCTACTTCAGGACCACGTGGCTTGCCTCTGTCGACAAAGGATGTTGCCTGGCATTTCAGCAAATAAAGGATATTTTAGCCAAGAAGCCAGCAGCCACAGCAGCCGCCCCTGGCGATGCACCCTGAGGGAATTCAGGATGGAGAACAGGATATTGGCCCTAGATAGTTAAGGTGCAAATGAAAGGAAAGATTTCAATAAGCCCAAACAAAGAAAAGCACTAAATTCATTAACTGAAGACGGCTGTTTCTGTGATTAGCAGTAACCTTTTGATGTTCAACTACTAGTTGTTTTTTTTCCCAACAAAAACACCTATCTGGCTCCTCTCTTACCTCTTTGGAACAGTCCCTCAGAGACATCTGAGAGGCTGTTTCCCCGGCGCTAGTAAGTCCAAACAAAACTCGCAACTTTTACGCTGTGCGTCTTTCTTCAGCCCACACCTCCTCCATCTTCGCCACAAAGGTCCTGTCAGAAGTCTTTTCTCTTGTCTCAGGTTAAAAAATACTGCATTCACAAAACCGACTCCAAAGCCGAAGGCTACCTGCACTGAAGGAGGTAATGCTTCTAAGCTCCCAGACCCTTAGCCCTGGCCTGGCGCGGTGGGAACTACATTACCCAGAAGGCTCTGCACCGTGAGCCTCGGGTCGCTGGGCCAATGAAGAACCCGGGGAGGGACGTTTCCGTGCCGTACGCACCACTTCGGGGCGGGACTTCTGGGCTAGTCCTCCTGGCGGTTATTTTATTTGGTCTTAGTTTGGTTCCCGGATCAGAGGCGCCGAAGCAGGGTTGTACCCGAGGTGGCAGGGGAGAAAGCGTCGTCTCCACTGCACAGAGGTGGGTCTGAGGCTTGGCAGCGTCGCCGCCCGCGTCAC